GAGAGGAGTTCAAACCTAACCGAGACAACTTTCTTGTCAGAGGTCAGCGAGTAAACAGTCCACGTAATGGGAGATGTGTTTGTATACCTTTGCCTTCTTCCTGGTCCGTGTGCACGTAGTCCAAGCACCGCCACGTCCTGCGCGCCTTCTCACGCTGGGCACAGCTGTCTGCGGAAGTCTTGGGTTGATGTGGCCTACACCCACGATGAAGAATACGTGGGACCCGTTAGGAGCTGACGCAATATCGAAAAGAGAATGAATGATCCTAAAGTTCTACACCCTCACTTTCTAGCAATTTTTACTGTCCTCTGTGGAGCCAATTAAACACAATAAAGCCTTGCATGGAACCCCCTCTTCCTAGCAAAGCATTGCCAACATTACCTTAGGGGTAAACCAAATACGCCCGAGATAATTGCAGTAAGCCTTAGGCCATGATTTGGCTAGCGTCCTCTGCCTTAGCCAATATTAGGATAGTATAGTAGTTGTTTTTTAAAAATAATTTTTAAAATTACACACGGAGACTTGAAACCGACTGGCTGGTGCCAGAGTAGTTACATGATCTGCGTTTCTTGAACAGAGGTCTGCAGGCAGCTGGGGCGCGCGTACAGGCCCCCGCCGGTGGAGCTGCGCGTCTGCAAAACTTGCCGGAATTAAGTCAGCCTCCCGGGAAGGAGAAGAGAGAGGGAGAGGACGCCCCTACCGCGGCCCAAACGAGGTTGCGGAGTACCGCGCCGAGCTAGGAATCCCTAAGGGTCCTACGCGAAAGTGACTTACAGTCCTTCTCCAAAATGGACAAGCGCCCCGGGAGCTCAGCGTCTGAGAGTATTTTCTATTCCTGCGGAGCCCACCCTGAATGCGAAAGCCTGAGGCTGGATGCTCTGGGCCCTTCGCTCCTCCCTCGCGGGGCTGATTTACTTCACGTTGCGCCCAGACTCCCAGCCAAAGGAACACAGTTGGCTAGCTAAGGCCGACGGCGTTGGACAGGCCGCTCGTTTCCCTAAGGGCCAAGCCCGAGCTGGTGGCGTGGAATCGTCCAGATAGGACGCGATCACCTAGGGAGTGCTAGCTCACAGCTTACGTGCGAAAGGCTTGCAGCGCTCCCTGGAAAGGCCACTTCCCTCTCTCGGTTCCCAGCCGCCACGAAGCACAAAGTGCGAGGGAAACAGCCCAGAGTTGCTTCCAAAGAGGAGCCACTACTGTTCCGGGAGCTCTCTCGAGGCATCAGCAAAAGAACCCTTTGCCCCAGTCACGCGCGGGGCGGGGATCCAGAAAGCCTTTGAGCTCTCGGCGCGGGAAACTCCTAGCACCAGCTTTACAGTGTCCCTGTTGTCGTTATTGTTGTTGTTATGTGTCGTGGAGTCGGTTCCGACTCACAGCAACCCTGTACAGGGTTACCGAGGCTATAAATCTTTACGGGCGCAAAAAGCCTCATCTTTCTCCCGCGGAACAGCTGGTAGTTTCAAACTGCTGACCCTGAGGTTAGCAGTCTGATTCGTAACCACTACGCTACCAGAACTCCTTGCGTCCCTCTTGTAGTTGTTGTTAAGTGCCTTGGAGTCGGTTCCGACTCATAGCGACCCTTTATAGGGTTTCTAAGGAGTGGCTGGTGAACTTGAACCACCCATCTTGCGGTTCAAACTGACTTTGCAGTCCAGCACATTAATTAACCCGCAGCGCCACACCAGGACAGTGGCCCTAGTGACCCCAAATCCCTGGGCAGAAACAGTACTGTCTTTGAATCACTTAAGTCAAGGGAGACGGGGGCAGCTCGGCCTCAATAGGCTTTAGTTGTCACTGTAACGGTGGCCATGCTTGGAAGTTTCCGTGGTTTGTAGGTCGAAGAAGCCACTGTTCTATGCTCCTCAAACTGACGTAAGTGGACAGAAATCCCTCAAAAAAGCCTCCTTTTGGCGGGAATAAGGTTCCCCGACCTGGTGTGACAGTGAGAGCTTCTTATCTGAGAGCGTTTCCCTTTCGTAAGTACGGGCCAAGAGGCTGCTTCTTCTGTCCCTCCCTTCCCCCCTCTACCCCCCGCCCCACCGCCGCCACTACACCACCATCATCATGCGTCCTTCTAGCAAGCTTTACCTTAACACTTACTTTAAGAAGTCGGCTGACCTGTACAAAATAGCCCAACTAGTTGCTACTGACTCGGCAGTGCTGCTTCCGACAGACAGACAACCCCTCTTGCCCTCCTCCCCTTGTGTATCTCACTTTGGAGCAGGAAGTTGAAAACATTCGACCTGGTGTTACCGAAGTTTGGGGGAACCAGAGTTCCCAGGCATTCTGGGTCGACGACCTTCGGGTTTAGGTACAGAAAAGGAGACTTTAAAAACCGAGTGAGCCCCTAACTGCTCTATCACTGAGATAACTGGAAAGAACCCATGACATTTCCAACTTCAGACATCTCATCTCACAAATCATGAAAACCGAGGCCCAGAAACGGGAAGATGGTACGCTTATTTGTTTCTAAACTCGTTTTCCTCCTAGCCTAATAGTAAAAGCAGTCAAAACTAGAATATATACTCGTAACTTCAGGCTCTCCTGTAATCAGTTGGGCTTCTTCAGAATGTGTGAATGGGTGCTGGGAGGAACCTGCTTCCCGACTCACTCGGGCAAGTGAGTGTGTGTGTGTGTG